GCGGCAACACAGACTGGGCCGAAATGTTACAAGAGCTACGCTCCATACACGTTATCGAACCACATCTGGTTTGAATCGGTTCGGTGGCTGCACCACCTATCCCCGCCCGCCCCGCGCTACAACCACCGAGGTCAGGGTGGCGAGAGCAGCAGGGAGATGGACGCGCGTACGCTTGCTTGCACCGCGAAAAGTAACCAAGGACTCACACCTACCTACAAGTCGACAAACCCACAATTATATTCTCGGAACGGAATCAATCTTGAAACCGCCTACATGCAGCAGCGAGGAACCTCTGAAGAAGGACAACTAAAACTAAGAATGCTGTAAAAATGACGACTTCGCAAAAAAAGCGGTGGTGGTGGTGAACGAAGGAACAGCAGTGCCATCTCGCAACGCCCTTCGTTTTTCACACCCACAATCCCAACCTCCCAGGCATCTAACCAAACAAATATACACAGCCAAAAACCCAGGCGCAAGAAAACCACACGCCGACGTTTTAAGAGGAAGGCCTGCGCGTTCGCAAATACACGAACATTTTAAGGGACAATAATACCACCACCATCCTACAATACCCTCCCTCTTGTCGAGAGCAGGCACACACACCCACAACGCACACACTACCACCGCGGCGACCAAAATTTTGCCACACCTATGGCCCATCGAAACGGGCGTCTGTGTCCCGCCCAAAGCCAGAAACCATGGCTCACGAGAGAAGAAGCGTCCCGACAGGCGCGGTGTAAATCCTGACGGCGACGCTTCCCACCGCCACCACCACTAACACTGCCGCCACGCCGGTGATGTAGGGAATCCGGGCGACCAAACCGGGGGGGGGGGGGCGCGGGGGGAACACTCAGCCGTCTGGGCCATCTGCCGCCACAACATAAACCGTCGACCAAAAACGCGTCCCTCTCCATGCCACGGCGCCGCCTACTCCAGAGAGAGAGACGAGGACGATGCCTCTCTCCGCAAGCCTGGCCATCGATTCGATGCTCGTGCTCCGTCCGCGGGGTAGACAGACAGAAGACAGCCCGCTCCGCTCCGTCCATCGCAGCGTACATGCGGCAGTGCTCTTGATACTCAAAACAGGGGGTGAAACCATCGGAGACACAAGCAAAACTACCCCGCGTGTTGTGGGTCCAGCATGCCGCGGAGAGACAGCAGGCCTCCAGCACGCCGGCTCGATCGATGACGCTGCTGTGTAAGACAGCAGTACCACGCCCCCCTAGCTCCACTCAGCACACTGGCCCGACCGATGACCCTTCCGTGAAGCAAGACTCTCCGAGTACGCGATGGTCCTCGGAGGATATCGCATCGGCGGTGTTGTCCACTACGGTGGTGTTGGTGCACGTGTCAAACCTAGGTTTAGGCGGCAATCCCCCCAAGATACACAGCAAGCATCGGTGGGGGCACATACCACAAGCACACAAGAGAGTTGGCGGGGGGGGGGGGGGGGGGGGGAAAGGACCAGGAACATGGGGGGGGCCCCGGGGATTTCCATCCAATAATAACCTTTGGGAGAAACGAAAAATGGCCAAAAAAAA